AGCTAGGCTCATATTCACAATCTAAACCACAACCATTTCAAGCAGCACAAAAGGGAGTATCATACTCATGAGACCACATTTCCCTAATAAGTGCCTTGTCTCAAGCAGACAAGAAAACAGATCTTTTTCTTTTCATTCCAATAACTGCAGGTCATTGGGAACCAGTCTGGAGGGAAGTGCTTTGTCTGGGGAAGTTCAGCTACAGAAGATTCCAAGGATGTGACACTGCACAAGGTTCATCCACTGTTGAGTTGGTGGACCTACTTTTACACACATAACAGATGCTGCTTCTGCTTCAGAAGAGCATCAGAGAGCCCACTCGCCTCTGCTACAGTCACCAGGTTCTTTGCTCATGATCTCCGCTCATTCTGTCAGTTGAGAAGTAGATTAAACAGTTTATGAAGAACATGAAGTTGTAAATTGCAGGGAAATTAGTTCTGAAATTATGTATCAATGCTAGTTCATTTTCAATTGTGTTTACAAAAAGTTTCCAGTCTGACAAACAAGTGGTAGGCGCATTGTGCACTGGGACAGTGTTATGGAAATGTACAGTGAGCACTGAGATGTGCATGGGAGTGTAATTTGTGAATAACAAGGTCTGTGTGCTCTGAATAAGTAACTTTCAGTACAGCTGGAATACTGGTATTTGCTTCAAGGCTACTGCAATATTCCCTGTAGCTCCCTTGTGCCACCAGGGACAAGAGCAGTCCCAGTCTCTCCTTCCCCCCTTCTCCCCATCACGCCCTTAGTAAAGCAGAAAATAAAGAGAATGACAGAATAATGTTAGAAACTGGTCGAAGAGGTAAGGACAGCAATCACTGCAGAATCTCAGTCAGATGAGTTTCAGGCTTGGCTATATTCATATTTGACTTTCAAATTCTGATACAGTCAGAGTGCAAAGCCATTTCCATTCCACTCCCTGTTTTCACCCTTTCGGAGCTTTCACAACATGGATCCTTTGAGATGTATTTTCCACCTTTTATCAGCTCCCAGAGGAGCATGTGACCATATATATTCATCTTTAAAGTTCGAGCTGAAAACTCTTACAGGTTTGTGAATTCAATAGCCATACGGCAAAAAAGTGGTAATATTTTTTTCTCACAGACTTTTTCACCATATAGAGAAATCTGCTCCACTAATGTAGATCTAGAGGAATATTAATACTTCCCCTAGTTTTTATGTGGCAAAACCTCCTATTAGAAAAGTCTATACCATTTCAGAACATCCCATCTCTTCTGACTAAAGCCCAGAGAGCACACAGTCTGTAGTACAGCTGTAGAACAGTATTGCAGGTACCGTGTCCCTGGTGTGACAGTTTATTCTGTCACAGACAAGAATTCATGCATTCAAGGGTCATTAGCATTAGGATCGGGATATATGTATTAAATTTTTCTTGTGCATCATGTGCAAACGTGCTTGACTTATAACAAATCCTTCCGTGTGTCTGTTTAAGAATAAAGGTACGATTACAACAGAAGCCAAGTTTTATGTCATAAAATCAGAGAGTCATAGAATGATTTGGGTTGGAAGGAACCTCAAAGCTCCTCTTGTTCCACCCCCTGCCATGGGCAGGGACACCTTCCACTAGTTCAGGTTGCTCAACCCCTGCCTTGGACACTTCCAGGGATGGATCATTCACAGTTTCTCTGGACAACCTGTGCCAGGGCCTTACCACCCTCACAGGGAAGAATTTTTTCCTTGTATCTGATCCAAAGCCTCACGTTGAGCTTCTCGTCCACCAACACCCCTCAGCCCTCCTCTGCTCTCAATCCACTCCCTGCCCAGCCTGTATCTGTGCCTGGGACTGCTCTGATGCACATGCAGGGGGTATTTAGCTATACAGGGAGAATTATTAAAATAACATTGCACTTCTGTGCAGTGTGTGACTATCACTCATACCACTTCTCAGTCCACACTTGTTTAATCCTCCTTCTCCCTGGCAAGAGCACTCCTCACGGATGCCAAGAAAACAACTGTCATAAGTGAAGTTATTGTCTCTTTAATGACCACAGGAATATCTACTGAATTTAATATATTGGCTTGGGAAATCTGTTTTGCCCACCCTAAATGGCTGTCTTAAATATATCTGCTCAGAGTGATGTGTGTTATATAAATAAAACTACACTGGCAGCATGTTTGTCAATCAGCAAAAAAGGCTCTGCATCCACTATCCCGGGCACATGTACTTCCTAAGCATTGGTTTCCAACAGATAAATGTAATCAAGGTTTATATGCTCACAGAAGCCAACAGGATGGGATTTTTTCACTTGAAAGATCAGAAGAAAATTGTAACTAATGTTGTGGAAAATTACTTTGATATTGCTTTCTCAGTACAGCATCACAATTAGGTAGCAATGTGAAGCACAGGGAAAGAATAAATGAATAGTAACAAATCAACACAAACAGCTACTGTCAGGAGTGCTTTGCTCAGTGAAAGTAACGTAAGCATTACTTAAAGTTTTATGACTGTGGATTTTATACTGGTTTAAGTAGTACATCAAGGTCTCACCGTCGTGCTTGCTGCGACTAAAACAATCAAGAACGATTTCCCAAACAGACAGATAAAACCAAAGCACCAAAGTATTTTTTAATCTTGTTTCGTAAGTTGTACTACCTCAAATTAAAGATGACTGAATGTACTAACAATGAAAAATGCCCTTTTGGACAATGCAACATTCTTCTACGCTGCTTTTCAGTGCAAAATACATGTTAGAGACCTGTCTCCAGCCCTGCTGATGAGATTCCAGCGTCTAGCAAATGTGTTCTACTACACAGGAAATACAACAGCAAAGGCTAATCCAGTAAAGCTTTTCCATGCAGAATCTGTTGTCCTAAGTAGCTTAATGACACATGCATTTGTTCAATTCTATTGAGAGAGTAATCAGGCAAGCAAATTATAGCAATATCCCATCTCCATTAGAACCAGGCCCCTTTAAGGAGAAACACTGTGAACAGAGGAAGGGAAGGATCCTTCTCAGCATGCCAAAATGTCATCTGTGATTGACAGATTTTCACAGGAGACTGTCCAGAAATTAAACATGCCTACCTCTCTTTATAATGAAATTAATGGGTGTTTTTTCCTGTGTCCTTTAAGCCGCCTAATGTGTGTAGTGATAACTGGTATCATTTTCAAAAGCAGTGGATATGAGTAGTTTCTGAGTCCACTGGGAGTGGAAAGCACTTAACGCACATGAAAATCAGCCAAACAGAAATAAGAGTAATTGTATTGAGCACCTTTCACTCAAGGGTACAGCCTGGTTCCTATTAACATAAAGAGTAATTGAATGTGAGACTCGAGGAATTGATTACACACCTTGGGCAGTAAGAGCATCTCTGGGATGTTCATGTTTCAGGAATCCACAGCAATCGAGTCCATTGCTGAGTGAGTTTCCCTGCTGGGGGCAGGAGCTCTGCTCAAAGTTGCTTTTATTTAAATGTGCTTGGGTGCCCCCTTCTCCAGTTATACACCCTCAAAAATCACTTCACAGCGTACTACAATCAGCAGCTGGCATTCAAGAGGTTTGTGGCAGAGAACAGAGGTACGACAGGTCAAGATGAGGGACCAGTAATGAAAAAAATGGAAAAGAAATTGCACTGGTTTTGAAACAAGACCAGAAAATCCTTCTCTTTCAGGAGAACAGAATTAACTTTTCAGTGTAAAGTTACACATTCTGAGATGCATTAGGGTACTGCCTGCATTGGCTGCCCATACATCTTTCCCCTCATCCCCAAACTACTGGCCAGTTTCAGTTGAATATAGCCAGTACTCCTGCTTTTAATCTGTAAGCTCTTCTGCATCTAAGCATACAAAAACAAATTGAAAAAAGCACTGAGGGGACTAGTTAATCCTCTGCTTTGCACAACACTGAAGATTCATTATTTCTATAGTTTCAGCTGAGTGGCTGCTTTCAAAATTGGTGTGCAGTTGGACTAAATAATAAACATATTAAAGTACAGATCGTTTAGTGACATGGAAATAACCACTTAATAAACCTGGACACAGAAATTAGCAGTTAATGTAATTATTTAAGAGTTCTCTGTGCTACGGTTCAGCTCCTACAAAACTGTTGGTAATACTTTTAAATATACACAGTTGTGTTCATCATAGGATGAAGGTGTCAAATGAATGGGCTTTTTATAAAGCACTTGTTAATTCAAGGGACAATTTCAGTGCATGTAAGAGCAAACACAGGAACTGAACCCCAACACACAGTGGCATCATTTTGAACTGGAGTGACTGCACTGGCATTTGTCAAGGCTCTAAATCAGCCTTCACTACAGCCTTAGTCAAAAAAAAAGGGGGGACTGTAAGTAAATCAAAAGATCTTGTGCCTTTTCATACTTCTTGTGGGCCCCTCCTTTAGAAGAGAACTACTATTTCAGCCCACAGTTTTCTGTTTCTCCCATTGCTGTGGTCTCTGTGGCTTTTCCCAGTTCCAAGTGAGTCGTGCAGGAAGATGGCACGCATATGAATGAGAGTTATGACAGGTTTAATTGAAGTTGAGCAAATTAAATAAATGCATCCCAAAGCATTTCATGTTTCTGGTGTGACTCATTTGTGCATCTCTTATTTTGCATCTCATGACACACTGAACACCACGTGCAGGCAAAGGTGGATCCAGAGGGGTGCATTTACAGGAACAGAACTTTTGGGGAAATCTCTCATTTTCATGTTTATTGTGGTATAGTTGGAAGCAGAAGTTGATCTCAGTTTAGCAGAAACTTAACTCCATCCAGCTGGACCCAGCAAAGATCCCTGTATAATCAATCACTTAATTGGTTCTTGGAGCAGTTTTTTCAGCAAATGCCTATTTTTTTTCTTTTCTTTTTTTCTTTCTTTTTTAAAGAAATTGATAGTTACTTTCAAGATAGCCTTCATTAAGGATTGCATACCTTTTTTGAGGCAACCTCTGTGATATATGTAAAACATGCAAAGGGTAAAAGTACAAAATACTGAACACGATAGGGCAGGTGACTCAAACAGAAATAGAAATGCTAACCTGGTGTCTGCTGATGAACTATCTCTTCTGGATCCTGCAGGTGAATGAAGACAACGAGTCCAACTGCTCCAAACAGCAAGATGAAGGAGAACATACATGTCAGCCTCATAATTACTGTTCTCAGATCAATCCAGCTCTGAGGCAGGAAAAGAAGTGCATTCGATCTCCAGGGCACTCTTCACTCATAGTCTTATCCTCTCATCTGGAAGTCTGGTGCAATACATCTACAAGAGACAAAAAACACAACCCTCTAACACTTAACATATACAGCATTTATTTTTCCAGTGCAGATTAGTAGATTTAAGTTCTTGTTTAGACCAAATAACTGATTTCTCTAGTATTGCTTTTGTACAGTTAATTGCAGTCATCCAGTCCATTTCTGCCCCAGCAATTTGTCTTTAATTATATGTCCCTACTTTTAACATGCCCCACCTGGGCACCTTGTGTGTCTTTCCAAAGGGTTGTGGAGAGATGATGATTCAAAGGAGTTATGACAGGAAAAGTCTTAAAGATTTATCTGAAGTGGGCCTGGAATATTTGGTGTTGAGGAAACCTGTTTGCTTTTCATGGCTTCCATAGCAGGTTTTTAATTTTCTGCAGTGTACTGGCATTCTAAATTTCTAAAATGCACCAAAGAACACTGTGACTCTGACTGATAAGGTTATTAAGGTTATTTAATGGCAACTATATTTATTCAGTGTGTAAAGCTGTCAGAGGTCCAGGCCAGGAACACTGGTGGATGCTTGTATCCTCAATGATTGCAGAGCATTCTCTTTATACATAGGCAAAGTCAGCTTTATTTTCTGTTAAAATTATGGCAGACATTAACTGTATTTTTATTTTTTTTTCACCTTAAACCTTTCTTGCACCTTTAAAAGTAAAACTAAAAGAAAATGTCACTAAGTTTTTCAGCACTAGCAAAGCCAAATTGTTCTAAGTTCTTGTGCAGGTCCATCTGTGCCTGTTGTGTGCATGTGTATGTAGTATGGATAGACATTTGGAACATGCATTTATTACATATATTTATTTTTAAATGTCAAATGCAACTCTAAAGCCCTAGTGGAGTCAGATAAGCCTTCAAAGCACCTGTGTTACTGTTCCAAACACGGCTGTTATAAGCAATCAATCAGGGAACAGGACCCACCCTCTTTCTGGTTCACTACGATGTTTGTTTGGCTACACAGGCAGAGATTTGGATAAATGGGTGCTCTGAACTAAATCCAACCGCAGCAAGGCTGGTACAACACCAAAATCACACCATCATTTTGTAAAGTCAGAGCTTTCTAAAAATTGTATTTGGCTTCCTAACATAAAGGTTTTCCTTTTGGTCATCTATTTACGGTCCCTGCACACCCCAGGGGAGGAGGATGCCATGACCACAGTTTCACAGGACAGGCAGGAGGGAGGTGTCTTGCCCACGTTTACAGAAAGGTTGTGATGCCCCAGAGAGCTGAAGGTTGTCCCAACCCTGGGCATTGACAGCTCTGCCCTTCTCTGCTGGGCATGTCCTGGCAGCTCATGGGACAGAGAGCGGGTGAGAAACACATAATCCTCATCTGAGAGAGAGTAGCTGAAAAACACCCACTCCCAAACAACAAGGGGTTTAAATTTGCTTAGTGCTGAGTTTTAAGGTCATTTTTAAAGGAATTATACCCTTGGGCAAATATGGGTTTCTAAAACAATTATTATTACTAGCTTAAAATGTGAAACTGCTTTCCCTGGATTTGATTTGTTGAAATGTTTTTGTTTGAAGTAGAGGCAGTATCAAGAAAGATCCCTGGCCAGCTTTTAATTAGTGCCAGAAATGCTACAGTAGCAGTTTTCAATAGTTAGAGTGTTTACATTACTCCACAACCTATATAGGACAACTGTGCCCAGGAACACACAGCCCTTTAGGTTAGACATTACAGCCTCTTCAGGACTCCTCAAGATACAACAATAACAAAAGCCAGATGAAAGCACATATTTGAAGGAAGAAGAGGCCACATGTTGCTGCCTGTAGTCACTGTATGCCTCTGCAAGCAGTGGAGGCAGAAGGAGTCTGAGAAGGAAAAAGAAAGAGCATCTCTTTCCTCTCAACAAAATTACTACCTCTCAACAGAACTCAAACATCAGAGATCTTTAAATTATGGGTCTAAGCTTTCCCCCTCCCTATTCTCCTGTAATTATTTTTTCAATCAGTTGACTTTAATTAACACGCCCTCCGAGAGCGAAGTGGGTGAATGGCAGTGGCTGGTTTGAGATGCTGAGCATGTGCTTCCCCAGCCCTCCCAGGCTGGTCGTTGACTTACAGGAGCAGAGGAACTCTGAAAGCAGTTAGCACTGACTGATAAATGTGAACAAAGTATCCTCATTAAGGAAACATTTGAAAATATCATTTACACTCAAATCACATCATTTTAAAGATGGATGAGAGAAAAATCCCTACAAAAAAAACACTCTAAGTGCAGCTCGAGCTAACAGGTTCTTCAAGCAATACTTCCTCAGGCATGTGAGGGAGAGAGATGCTTTATGTGGGAGCTTTGGACTGATCCATGCAGAGTGTCAGCATCTGGGAGGCAGAATTTGGATGAATCCATACCCTTCAACTTGCACTTTGCATTTGATGCCAGATACTTTGACTGTGCTTCTCACAATGGGCAATAACATATTTTTATAATACTTAGCATTACTGAGAGTGCAAGCAGATAAGGCTACAAGGAGCTTCCAATCTTAGCTCCATTTTTCAGCTGCCCTGAACCTATTAAACAGATGGAGAGCAGTTCATTAGAACATGCAATAATGAATTGAAACTTCTAACTTTTAAATTATTCTCCCTTTATACGTTTCTATGGTGGATAAAACTCCTAGGTATCAGTATCTGTTTTCCTAAGCTTTCCCATTACCATGGTATGTGAATGTTCTGCCCTTGAAAGCAGCAGAAGTATGAGTATGCATGGATAGTAATTAGCACTCAGATAGCACTTTCCAGTTCAAAGACATTCATTAATCACCACAGTACTCCTATGAATTGGGAGCTGAGGAAGTATCAGCATCAGGTAGGAGGTGTTGCATCATTAAAGCAAGACTTTTAAGGAAAAAAAAAAGTACAGTTTTAGGTAAAAAGAAAATCCAAACATGTTTGTGGCAAATACTTGTATACTATAACATAATGTTCAGGCACCAAATCTTTTCTTTACAAACACAAAAGCAGAACTAGTTGCCCCTTGCTCCCAACCAGCATTGAAAGACCCTGCAAAGATTTATTTAAATCTTCTGACAAGAGTGGCTCTGAAAGTAGTGCTGTGTAGGTTCTGCTTTTTGGCAATCACCTCCTGTAAGCCTAATGACTGAACACTTTCACTGTGAGCAATCTAAGGTTATGATGCAGGATCAGTCCACAAAAGACAACAGGACAGTTTTCTACCAGCACCTCTGTTGTTTCTTTCCTCATCAGATGGGTCAGCCAGTTGCCATGCTGAGTGACCATGGCTGTTTGTTCGTTCTCTCCCCTGCCTGCTGCCAACAAGGCTGTGTGAAGAATGGCATTGATAAGATAGATACAATCTAAGGGCATGGTGTAATTCTTGGGTACAAACTCAGGAGCTTGCCTTTGGTCCATCTAGAACTGGATCTTTCCATAAGAGCAGCTGCACTGATGCATCAATGGAAGGCAAAAGAAAATCCTGAAGAGTGAAGTAGCAGGGTAAGTTGCCCCAAGAAAAGGTCTGTTGATCTTTAGCTGAGGTCAGCTTTATGAGGGTAGCACATCTGGGACTGGCTGTCTTAGGGAAGCACCTTTGTCAGGGTATGAAGCTTTCACAGCACTGCCAACAACTGCTAAACCAGAGCTTGGTCCTCTGCAGAGAGCAGGAGGGACAGGGGGCCCAGGGCAGCTCCAGCCCCTCATTTCTCTCTGCTGGCTGCTCACAGGGACTCACCCTGTAGAACCCAGGCTGCCTGGCCCTCTGTGCAGGTGGTGCTGGGGTGCTTTCACTCCACTGGAGAGCTGGAGACCAGCACAGCTAAATTAGCCTGAAGATGAAAGGCACTGCGCTGAGATGAAAGAAAGAGAGGCTTTTTTCCTCTGTGGAACCAGGGGAAGGGAAGGACCAAGGTGGGCCAGAGACCCTGTAAAGCTCCTGCTCACTGCAGGGCACTCTCCCTCCCTGAGGCTTCACTGCAATGTGCCAGTGCAGCTCCCAGTGAATGAAGGAACACAGACCAATGCCAGCCTCACCGCTGGGTATTATTGCCTTATACATCAGCAAGTCAACAGAACACCCAAATTCTTTGCAAACATCTCCTGATTGCTAAATTGGACAATTACAAGTCACCTAGGAATGAATGTAAATGCTGAGTTGCCACCTACACGGTAAACCAACTGAATGTCTCGTGCTGTGTGAGCTTTAGCTGCTGTTCCTGCAGTGGATAGCAGGCTGCTGGTTCAGAGCCAAGCCAGAGCCCACTGTGTATCCAGAGAGCAGCAGGATGCAGGTGTCTTCTGAAAGCAGGGATTCCCGCATCTCCACTTTGTGTGCTGATGGGTAAGCAGGTACCGAGCAGCAGAGATTAGCTCAGCCACTGCCACTGCTCTGGTTGTGCCATTCTGGAGAGGCAAACTGGGAGGTCTCCCTGGTGCTGTGGGACCCTGTGGAGGCCCCAGTGTCCAGGCTCTCCATGCAGAGAAATGTGGCACTGCACGGGCACGGCCTCAGCAGTGCCCTCCATCCTCGCTCACCTGTCCCCAGCGAAGGGCACGCATTGGCTGCTCGGACTGCCAGCTCAGACAGAGATGCTTATTAATGAAGAAATGTTTTTATAAGTCAAGATTTGCCTGTGAGCAAAAAAAAACTACGTGTGAAATCTCAGCACTCCTGCAGCTGGTCTGGGGAAGTTTTTAAGAGGGAGCTGTTGGCAGCTGAGAGTTTTCTTCTTCTACTGGTTTTTGTGTTGTGCTTTCTGAAAGGGCACCGTAATGGAGCACTTACTTTGTGTGTTATTAAGATAATTTTACTCAGATTGTCTAATATAGTCAGAAACTGTGATAGTGATACCAGGCAATTAGCTGAAAAAAAGAGAATAATATTCTTACAAGAATATAGGAAAAAGAATATTATTACTGGAGTGATCATTAGCTGTGTCTACGAGGTGTGGGAACTCTGCAGCTGAGCCAAGCATGTGTTTCCTTGCTTCAAAGCACTTACAGACACAGGACACTGAGTTTTCCCATCACTCCAGTGTC